CTTGAGAGACAGATGATCAGCTTCTGAGGGGGAGACCCCAAGCTAAGAAACCCAGCCCCTTATATAAGCCTAGGAGCTCCGAGTGAGACGTGTAGAGCCAGGATTGGTGGTTTGCTCATCACCCCAGATGACGCCACGGGAGAGGCAGAGCTTAAGCAGTGGAAAAACACCTAGCACATGCGCACCAAGGTTGTTTACTCCAACTGACAACGGATGTCGGCGCCATCTTGTAATGGCGATAGTGATAGCGAGGGCGGCTCCTCACATTTGTCTCATTGATTCTTCGTATTGTTTGTTTCTATTTTATTGATTTCAGCCCTCAATTTGACTGTTTCTTGCCATCTACTCCTTCTGGGTGAGTTTGCTTCTTTTTTTTTCTAGCACTTTCGGTTGTTCTGTTAATTCACTAGGGTGGGATTTTTCCAGCTTCTTTATGTCGGCATTTAGTGCTGTGAACTTTCCTCTCAGCACTGCTTTCATTGTGTCCCATGAGTTTGGGTATGCTGTGCGGTCATTTTCATTAAATTTTAGGAAGTCTCGGATTTCTTTCTTCCTTGACCCAGTGGTGATTCAGCTGATCATTGTTCAATTTCCATGCTGTTTGTGGACTTTCTGAGGTTAATGTTGCTGTTGAATTCTAACTTTAAGCTGTGGAGAGCTGATAGGATACAGGGGACTGTTTCTTTTCTTTTTTAAAATCTGTTGAGGTTTGCTTTGTTACTGAGTATGTGGTCTATTTTTGAGAAGGTCCCATGAGGTTTTGAGAAGAAGGTGTATTATTTTGTGTTTGGGTGGAATGTTCTATAGGTGTGTGTTAAGTCCATTTGAGTCATAACATCTGTTAGTTCCCTTATTCCTCTGTTATGCTGTATGGCAGACCTGTCCAATGGTGAGAGTGGGGTGTTGAAGTCTCCCACTATTAGTGTGTGGGGCTTGATTTGTGACTTAAGCTTTAGTAATGTTTCTTTTTTTTTTCTTTTGGTTTTTTGAGACAGGGTTTCAGTAGTGTTTCTTTTACAAATGTGGGCACCCTTGTGTTTGGGGCATAGATGTTCAGAATTGAGATTTCCTCTTGGTGAATTTTTCCTGTGATGAATATGAAATGCCATTCTTTATCTTTTTTGATTGATATTAGTTTGAAGTCCATTTTGTTAGATATTAGAATAGTTACACCAGCTTGTTTTTTAGGTTCATTTAATTGGAAAACTTTTTCCCGACACTTTACTCTGATGTAATGTCTGTCTGTGAGGCTGAGGTGTGTTTTTCAGTAGCAGAATGTTGGATTCTATTTTCATATCCAATCTGTTAGCCTGTGCCTTTTTATAGGTGAATCGAGATAATTTATATTAATGGATATTAATGACCAGTGATTGCTGCTTCCTGCTATTTTTGTTTTTGTTGGTGATGGCTTTGTGTATTCAATTCCCTTCTTTGGGATTTGCTGCTGTAAGCTCATCTATTGCCTAGGTTCTTGTGGATGTAGTCTAACTTTCTTGGGTTGGGGATTTTCTTCTAGTACTTTCTGTAGGGCTGGGTTTATGGATAGGTATTGTTTAAATCTGGTTTTATCGTGGAATATCTTGTTTTCTTCATCTATGGTTATTGAAAACTTTGCTGGGTATAGTAGTCTGGGCTGGCATCCGTGGTTCATTGGTGTCTGCATAACGTTTGTCCAGGACCTTCTGGCTGTCATTGTTTCCACTGAGAAGTCAGGTGTAATTATGATAGGTCTGCCTTTATATGTTACCTGACCTTTCTCCTTTGCAGCTCTTAATATTCTTTCTATAGTCTGTGTGTTTATTGTGGTGAGGGGACTTTTTTTTTTTTTTGCCCAGTTTATTTGGTACTCTGTAAGCCTCTTGTACTTTCATAGGCATGTCCTTTAGGTTGGGGAAGTTTTCTTCTATGATTTCGTTGAATATATTTTCTGTGCTTTTGAGTTAGATTTCTTCTATCCCTGTTATTCTTAGGTTCTGTCTTTTCATGGGGTCCAAGATTTCCTGCGTGTTTTGTGTCAAAGATTTGTTGGATTTAAATTTTTCTTTGGCCAGGAGATGGGGAGGTTTCAGGAGGAGGGGAGGGGCAGGGAGCTGGGGTTGACATGTGCAGCAAGCTCTTTTCTAAAACAATGTACTAGAATTCATCATATAGCACAGACTGGCCTCAAACTCCTCCGCCTCTCGAGTTCTGGGACTACAAGCACAACCCACCATGGCTCCCTCAGAGGCTCCTGTTGGTGGGCTTTGAGCTCTGCCACAGGAAATGTGTAAAGCTACTCGCGACCTACGGTGGCCTGGCTTCCAAATGCACACCTGCATTTGTGGCCTAGAGAAAACAGTTTCTGGAAGCAGCCTAAAGACAGCGCACCCCGTGCTTTGATGGAGCAGCATCATGAGCGAGTGGTACCATGCAGGCAGACCCGTGAGTAGAGCGTTCGAGAAAACTGCTTTCCGCAAGGGGCTGGCTGGAGCAGCGAAGAGCGCTCACTCCTGTTAGAGGGCCTTGGTTTGGTTCTGGGCACCTGCAGTGTATAACCCCCCTGTGACTTAAGCCTTCAGCTACACAGCTGACAGCTCTGGTCTCTACAGGCACCTGCATACACATGGCACACACAAACCTATCCAGACGTGTACACACACACACACACACACACACACACACACACACACACACACCGCACACACACACACACACAGTCCCATTAAGTCTTTTAAAGAATTTATACCGGGTGTGATGGTTCACACCTTTTACCTAGCACTCAGAGGGCAGAGGCAGGTGGGTCTCTGTGAGTCTGAAGCCAGCCTGGTCTACATGGGTTACCAGCCCAGGCTGAATAGAGATCCTGTCTCAGAGGTGTTCAGGTCCTTTCTGTACGGAAGGAGGCAAGAGTACAAAGGCTAGGTTGAACACTATCAGTTACAATGTTTTTGAGTGTAAGTCACGGAAAACTAATTGAGGGTGGGTGAGACGGCTCAGCCCCTAAAGGTGCTGTTACCCAGCCTGATGGCTGCCATCGGACCACGAGGACCCCGTGTGGTGGTAGACACTTAACACCTGCCAGTCACCCTCTAAACTCCACACACGTGCCATGGCAAGCACATGCATGTGCACACACAGCAGCGGCAAAACAAAAGTGAAAATGTGATGTGTTTTTCTTATCTTAAGCAGGAAGCTCACAGACAGGACAGGCTCCAGAGGTCCAGCAGAGCTCTGGGTCTTCAGACTGGCTGCAGTAGGGGAGGGTGTGGCTCTGTCGTAGCGTGCTTGCCTACAGAAGGTCAGAGGCCCTGGGCTCCATACCTAACACTGAATGGAATAAAAGCAAAGGCTACTATGGTCTCCGCTGCCATGCTCTGGACAGACCATCCCTCAAAGAGGAGGGGCTCCCCTGCACCCCTTCCTGATCACAAGCAAGGAGACAGGGTGACCGAGACTCACTGAAAATGCACCACACCTTCCTCTGGATGGGCAACAAGATCACCTGCCCTCAGTCACACAAGGAGGGAGGGGCAGATACCAGCTACTCAGAGTAAGCTGTGCACCGCTCAAGTCAGGAGACCTTCCGCGTGCAGTCACCGTGTCCAGCAGATGGCAGTAAGGTGCCCAGAGTATCCCTGGTTATGTGTGGTTACAGTAAGGAGGTAGGGTTGGGGGCGTGATGGGGGGAATGAGAGGATGGGAGGGGGAGAGGGAACTGGGGTTGGTATGTAAAATACCATTGCTTTTAATTTGGATAAAAGTTAATTTAAAAAAGAACGTAGGGTTGAGGAGAGTGAGGGCAGTCACCTCCCATGCTAACCAGCTGCACCAGAGCTTCAGCGCTCATGTCTGGGACAGGAAAGCATCCCACCGTAAGTCTCCTAAAAGTATACCTGGAAAAGTCTATCTTAATGATAATATGCCACTCCAGGTTTAAGAAAAGTTTCAAAGGTCTTAATTCCAGTGAACTCTTAAAAACAATCACTTAGGCAAACAGATATTCAGAACTGAAAAACTTCTATGTTCAAAACTCACTATTATTACCAATACAAAGCCCAAAATAAAAAGCTAAGCTTGACCTTTGTATTTTTTTCCCTAAGACAAGGTCTTGGGGGGGGGGGGGGGGGTGAGGTGACAGAGAATGTGGGAGGTGTTGGGAGCGGATTGAGGGGATAAATATGATCAAAGTACGATATGAAATTCTTAAAGAATCAATTAAAATGCCCTATTAAAAATAACAGAAGTTCTTAAGTATTCAAGGTTAGGCTGAGGCCAATGACCTTGAATGTCCATCTCCTCAGTGCTGGGACTACAGGTTTGCAACAGCACACACTTGGCTTTATAGAGTGCTGGGAACTGAACTCAGGGCCTTGTTCATGGTAGGCACTACCAACTGTACTGCAGTCATAGCCCTATATATATATTTTTTTTTTTGGTTACTTTATATATGTACGTGTCACACATCTGTGGGTAACAGTATAGGCCAGCAGAGGGTACTGGATCTCTTAGAACTAGAGTTCCCAGTAGTTGTTAGTGTCCCAAACTCAGGTCCTCTAGAAGGGACACAAATGTCCTTACCTGGGGTGCTGTCTCTTTAGCGCTTACTTTTGATTCTTCAGATAGTCCAGGGTTGGCCTAGAACTCACGATTCCTCAGCTTCCACCTTCTGAGAACTGGGTTTACATGCATGTGCAGCCACACCAAGCACAGTAAGTTATCTTAATAAAAGCAATATACCAAAGACTATCTCCAATAGTAAATCATTACAGCAAGCACATAGAAAAACAACCAAGCTGGGTGTGTGACTCAGTGGTAGATCACTTGCCTAGCACACACAGTGTCATAGGTTTGATCCCCAGGCCCATAAAAACACAAAAAATGGGAAAGAGGAAGAAAATGACAAGTAGATAAAAGCTACCAACTAAAGATATTCTCACTGAAGATTATGCAAGACGATTATGGGATTGTGGGAATACACAAAGATATACCAAGGGGGAAAAAAAAGAGAACTAAAGACTGGATAATCAATCATCTATTCCTATAATTTTTATCTTTCTATTAAATAAAAATCGTGCAAGTGACTATGATCTAAAGGTGCAGTATTCCACTGGATCATTTACATTCAGCGTCAGTAATAAATGCAGCGTGTGCGATGAAATGGGATTCCTCTCATGGCTTCCCTGTGGTCTCGAGCGTAGTCCCACAGGTGATAATCCAGAAGAATAGAGTTGATCTCACTCTGAGGTTTCTCTCCCCTTTCTTCAAGAAGCTCCAGAAGACAATCCCGGATCAGCTCGACACACCAAATTGAGCAGCCTCTAATTTCCACCTCTTGTTTCTCTCCATTTGAGAGCATTTCTCCTGCAAGAATTAAGTGAGGGAAAGAAAAAAATCATTTATAAACCTAGGCACTAATGTAAGACTACAAGTTAAATTCACAGTGACAGAGGCAGTGTCTGGCTTGGCTGTATCAATACCCGCAGGACCTAGCATTTGCACATACTAGCTCCTCAAGTAAATTTGTTAAAGGAAGATATGGTAGTCCTAAATTTAAAGGACTTCTGTGTTTTTGTTTTTGTTTTTTGAGACAGTGTCTCTCTCTGTATAGCTCTGGCTGTCCTGGAACTCAACTCTGTAGACAAGGCTGGCCTCCAACTCACAGAGATCCGCTTGCCTCTGCCTCCCGAGTGCTGGGATTAAAGGCGTGCGCCACCACCGCCTGGCATAATCTAATGGTTTTTATCAAGGGGGAAAGAGTAAAAGGTAAAACCTGCTGGCATCATGTGCGCCACGTTTGCCATGCTTGGGCCTGCTGGAGTCCTTCATAGACCGTAAGCATGATAGTGAACCTAGAGGTACTACCACATTGCCATGAACAAGTTGTCTCTGAGTAAACTGACCTCAGCAGGGAAAGATGGGGAAATGAGTCAATCTCTATGCAGCTTGCTGGTCCAGCTGAGACCTCTCCATTCTGTAGGGCTCCATCAGGGTCAATGACTGAACTGCTCTGAGTGAGGCTCAATATAGCCCTGACTAAGTCACTCTGTTCATCTTTTCTCTTAAGAGCAAGTGGTGGCATTGAAGCCGGGCATTGGTGGCGCATGCCTTTAATCCCAGCACTCGGGAGGCAGAGGCAGGCAGATCTCTGTGAGTTCGAGACCAGCCTGGTCTACAAGAGCTAGTTCCAGGAAAGCCTCCAAAGCCACAGAGAAACCCTGTCTCAAAAAACAAAACAAACAAACAAAAAGAGGTGGCATTGATAGAAATTAATTTCTGTTTTTGTTCTTCAGCTGAATTTGGAAGCAGCTTTATTGAGGACTGTTTATCAAGACTTGTGGATCATTCTTTAAACCAAATGAAACACTTTTTTTTTTTGGCTAGTTTTAAAGTTAACTTAATCATCCTTTCGGAGTATTTTCTATTCTGGAATGAATAAACTATATTCTTGCCAAAAGTTTTGCAAAGTTCCTGCAAGATTTCTTGGCCACCTCCTTTGGCTCATATTTCTGGCTTATTGTTTTAGAGATTCATCAAAAAGTGAGTTTGTGGGATTTTGTTTTTGTTTTAGAACTCGGCTCCTTCTCTTCAAAACTATGATGAAGAGCACCATCCTCTCCCTCTCAGAGCCTCCGGCATCTTGTCCTCCTTCAATCTGTTTATTCACCATGGCTGTCCTTTCATGGTGCTTAATGACGACACAGCAGGCAAGCCTGGGCTCAGCAGGAAGTGTAGGCAGGCTGCCCTGACACCACTAAAGCCCGGATGGATGCTGCTCGGTCCCTGGGCTCTGGGCAGGACCATTCAGGGTACCTGGAGGCCAGCTGGGGGCTGGGAAGAGGCCTGGCAGGCTGCATCCAACCTCTAACCTCAAGTAATGCTGCTCTCTCTCCAACAGCCTCGCTGCCTGACTCTAACGGAGTTTCTTCAGCTTCCTTCGCCTCAGACGCTGGCACAGAAGCCCATGCCTTCCTTTTCTGTTTATCACTTCCTTTCCAACCTAACTCTCATTTGCTAAAACCATCTAGCCAACCAGGAGAGTGACCTAAGGCAGAAGACACCACCAAAGAGGAGGCCTAGCTCAGACTGCTGCTCTAACTGACCACAACCTTGACTCAACAGGGGAGCCTAGCTATGCAGAACCCAAATTCCCAAACCACAGAAACTGCAAGACAGTAAATGTTTCTTGTTTTAGCCACAAAAATGTTAACATAATTTGTTACACAATGCATTCAGTAACTCTGGAAAGACAACACTGGAGCCCTAACTTTTGCCTCCTGTGAATGTGACTTTATTTGGAAACAGGAATGGGCTAGACATGGTGCACGTCTGTAGTCCTGGCTGTCTGGGAAGCTGAGGCAGAAGGCTGAAAATCTGAGGCCACCTGGGCTACACATGAGGCCTTGTCTCACAACAGAGGGGCCGAATTTAGGTGAAATGCCCACACACCTACACACACACACACACACAGACACACACACACACACACACACACACACACACATGCTCATACAGAGACACACACCATAAAAAACGCCATAAAACTTAAGGTGCCCAATCATTAGTCACTTATTGGTCATGAGCATTACAATTTTTTTTCCAGACAGGGTTTCTCTGTGCAGCTTTGGAGCCTGTCCTGGAACTCGCTCTGTAGACCAGGCTGGCCTCAGACTCACAGAGATCTGCCTGTCTCCCAAGTGTTGGGATTAAAGGTGTGCCTACCAACACCCAGCTGGGTATTACAATGTAACAACTTGTTACTGTGAAAATGAAAAAAGAGAAAGAAAGGACTGTTCAAGGCATCACAAAACCCGGTGAACTTTAGATGGATAATAACTACATTTATTTCACAAGAAAAAAAAGTGATTCAATCATAAAAACTTTCTCTTAAAAATAAAAAAGCAAGCCAGTATAGAGGAACCCTGTCTCGAAAAACAAAATAAATAAATAAATAAATAAGCAATAGAAACTCCTCCACCTAAGAAATAAATTCACACCAAATAGTCATTTTTCTTATAAGTCACTTTCATAGGAATGTTTTGGTCTACCTTACCTATTCTAACACCTGAGACACCCAGTCCTATGTCTGTAACCGTGTCCAGTCATGAGGAGCAGGAAGCCTGGGAAAGGTAACTCGATGGCCAGCCTCAACTCTCTCTGACTGAGAATCCTGTACTGGCCACCTCTCTGACGCCACCTCTGTACGACCTTTGTATCAGAGCATAAGTCACTCAGCTCGGCGGGCACACATTGGTTACCACACCCATTCCACACAGCTCCATGTAACAAACTTAGGTTTCTTTTACCAAGCTCTGAAATTGCAATGTCCAGGTAAACACAATTTCAATAATGTCCACACTCCACAGTGTAAACAAGGAAAGCCATTTTCTTTACACTTCAGTTGCTCGACACAGTTTCATTCTTCTTTGTCTGTTTATTTTGTTTTGGTTTTTTTAAGACAGGGTCTCTCTGTAGCCCTAGCTGTCCTGGAACTCACTCCTGTAGACCACGCTGGCCTTGAATTCACAGAGATCTGCCTGCCTCTGCCCACTGAGTGCTGGGATTAAAGGTGCCTGTTACAATGCCCCACTCAACAAAGGGTCTCCCCACGTAGCCCCCACCCCCACCGTGAGCTTCTACCCCAGAAGCACAGCAAGCCTCCACCTCACCAGGCACATGAGGCCGAGGAGAGCTGTTTGTAAACAAACCCAAGCGGACAAGGGCGTGGGCTGCAAACCTCTGAGGAGCCTCTTCAGCAGTTCATCCGAGTATTTCAGGGCGCCCAGGTACACGAGAGTCTGAGGCACTCTGTAGTCAGCAAACATGGTGATGCTGGAGATGTCCTCAAAGCAGCCGTCACCCCTTCCTTCCAACACACTCCACGTGTCTGCCACAAGGATCTGGGCTCGTTTGTAAAAGGAAATCCTTTTCCCCTGGCGATTGGAGAATATGTATGTGTCACTGGTGGTACCTTCTGAGATCTTAGCGTGTACTATTTGAAAAGGGCGCTCGACGGAGACACACACTGTCTCAAATAAACAAATCAAGGGTGCACCGAACGATCCTATTCTGTTGGTAAGATTTTACAAGCTTTTTACAGAAGATAAAAGGACCTGACAGCAAGATGGTTCAGCAAGCTAAGGTCTGTGCTGCCTGACCACCTGAGTTCAACTCCTGGGACCGCCATGGTAAAACCAACTCCCAAATGTTGTTCTCTGACCTCTCCGTACTCACTGTGATTACAGCACACAACCCTGACCCGAAAACAACAAATACATAGACCTCACAGTTTACCTACTTTTTTTTTTTTTTTTTTTTTTTTTTTGGTTTTTACGAGACAGGGTTTCTCTGTATTGTTTCGGAGGCTATTGGTCCAGCCCGGCCTCGAACTCACAGAGATCTGCCTGCCTCTGCCTCCCGAGTGCTGGGATTAAAGGCGTGCGCCACCAACGCCCGGCTACAGTTTACCTACTTTTATGAAGTGATCATTTCCTTTTTTTTTGCAGATGGTCACATTTCTTTATGCTGATTCAATGTCTTGCTCATCGCCTACACAAACTTTTTAAAAGGATTTTTATTATTTTTAATTACATGTGTGACAGTGTGGGAATGTGTATGTGAAATGCTAGTGCCTGCAGAGGGTTATGGGATCACCTGGATTGCAATTCCAGGCAGTTGTGAGCTTCCAATCACAGGTGCTGGGAACCTAACTCGGGTCATCTGCAAGGGCAGAATATGCTCCTAGCCACTGAGTCATCTCTCCAGCCCTATCCTGCTTTAAAACAGAAAAATCGTTTCTTTTTGCATTTTTAGTATAAAGCATGGACCCCAGGGCCTCACTAATGTGAACAAATGCCCTAATGATAAAGATCTATCCCAACCCACCCTCATTGTTCTTAACATGAAGTGATCATTTCTAAAGCCCCTATTAAGGACTTTGGGGCGGGAGGAGGCTGGTTCCCTGCACCCAGGTTGTGGTTCACAACCATTCCCAAAACCTGTTCCTGGGGACCCAACAGCCTCTTCTGAATTCCCTGGATACTAGGAACTGTTCCTGGGGACCCAACAGCCTCTTCTGAACTCCCTGGATACTAGGACCTGCTCCTGGGGACCCAACAGCCTCTTCTGAACTCCCTGGATACTAGGACCTGCTCCTGGGGACCCAACACCCTCTTCTGAACTGCCTGAATACAAGGCATGCACACGGCACACACAAACACTGGCAAGCCAAACACTCAGCTCAGAATAAACACATTTAAAACAGAGAAGACACTCATGGGGGGAGGGAGAGCTAAATGTGTGTGTGTGTGTGTGTGTGTGTGTGTGTGTGTGTGTGTGTGTGTGTGTGTGTGGCTGTGATACAGCACCCTGCCCTGAAGCAGTTTAGAAAAGGAAGAGCTTATTTGGGTTTACAGCCCAAGACAGAAAGTCTCTGGGGGAAGAGGGGAGTGGACATGGCGGATGGCACAGCACAGGAAGCTCACAGCTCACGCACGTAAAGAATACATCAGAGAGCGCTCAGTGACAGGGATTCCAAAGGAATTTCACAAAAACGAAACCTAGGTGTGTACTGGGAGCATAGAACAAACGAGAACCGTTTAAAAAGCACACCCATTTAGTTGTTTTGTATCACATAACATTATTATACAAAAAAAACTGTGTAAGAAAACAAATGCACACCAAGCTTTTCAAGAAATACTATTTTTTCCCCCAGAGAAAAGCCTATACATTCTACATTCTGATTTTTGTTCAGCTCTGAGAACTCTGTGAAGAACTTAAAGTGCTTCTTTACCCTCAGGCCACAGCGTTATGTTAAGGGTTGGAACTTTTGTTTGTTTCTTTGCTTTTTCTGAGGCAGGGTTTCCCTGTGTAGCTTTGGAGGCTGTCCTGGAACTTGCTGTCTGGCCTCCAACTCACAGAGATCGGCCTGCCTCTGCCTCCCTAGTGCTGGGATTAGAGGCGTGCACCACCATGCCAGGCTGAGGGTTGAAACATCTTAAAAGAATAAAGGACAATTCTATGACTGGAAAACATAGTGATTTGAAAGGCAAATTTTGTTACTTCTTCTGGTCCACAGGAACCAAGCTTCAAATTTTAAGTTGCTGGCCTTAAAAAACAAAACAGACAAAAAAACTCTGGACACAAGAGAAACCCTGTCTCAACAAAACAAAACAGGTCTAGAGAAAAAAAGCATTAACTCGGAATTATTATGAATCCTAAAATCCACCAGCAACAAACTCACCTCAAACTGTGTCTCGTCTCTGTAAGAAGGAAAATTTTCAACGACCAGGTGCATTAGCTTCTGTGCGCTTTTCTCACTCCTTTGGACACAATTAAGAAAAGAGCCTCCAAACTTCTCCAGCAGAATCTTCCCGGTTTCGTTGAGAATGCGATGCCTCTCTTCTAGTAAAGGCATGGGCACGGCTGTGTCAGAACGAAATATGTCCCGAACTTGGTCAAGAGTCACCGTGGCGTAGTAGGAGGCGCTGGTTATTGGTATCCCTTTTAAGAGAAAGTTCAGAGACTTTTAGAAGTTGCAAATAACATGGAGGAGGGAGTGTGGTCGTGCTGGCCTAATCCGAGCATTCGGAGGGAGAGGCAGCATGATGGGATCCCTGTGAGTTCGAGGTCAGGGTAGTGTATTCACTACACAGGCCAGGGCTACTCAGTGAGACCGTCTGTCTTTCGGGAGGACCAGAGTTCAATTCCCAGGCACCCACATGGTGCTTCACCACCCTCTGTAACTGCAGTTCAAGGGGATCGAGGTCCTCTGTGGCCTCCCAGGGCACTGCATACACGCTGTGCACAGACGAGCATGCGGGCAAAAAATAAAAAAAATAAAAATAAAAAAACACAAATAAAAACCCTAAAATAAATAACCAAGCTAGCGCTCCAGACACGCATCAGAGTTGCACCAATAGCGATCTGACGTGGCCCCCGCCCCTGTGTGCGTGTGTGCTTACAACAGCAAAGTGACAGGTGCATTTGCCTTACACAAAACGCTCTATATAACCTGTCCTTTTCTTCTCCGGGCGGCGTTCATTTCTCGTCTGCCTTTCTGCGACAGGGTGTCGCTCCCCCTGAGACTGGCCTGCAACTACGTTAGCTCAGGCCGGCTAGGACACGGTAGCGACGCTCGTGCGGTGGCCTGGAGGACTGGGGATGCAGACGGGAGCGCCCAAGCCCAACGCAGAGTGGCTTTTTTTCTTTTTCCTAGAAAGCCGGCTTTGCCACCTCTGCTGGCCGGCTGACGCACGCACCTCGGTCGAGCGCCCGGTTGACGGCGGCGCACAGGGCCCAGTAGCCGGTGTAGGCGGCGCCGCCGTAGCGCACCTCGCACCGGCGCTCCTCGCGCTCCGCCCAGAAGGAGAAGTTGAGCGAGTCCACCACGAAGACCCAGGCGAGCGCCGCCTCGTCCGCCCCGCGCGGGTTGAGCTCGTGCAGGTCCTTCCACTGCCGCACGCGCCACGCCGCGGCCGCGGGCAGCAGCAGCTCGGCCGCCCGGCGCACGCCCTCGGGGTCCACGCGCACGTCCCGGCTGCGCTCCGCCACGAGCCGCGCCGACTCGCGCGGCGGCAGCGGCGCCTCCTCCATGCCGCGGGGAACCGGGAGCCGCTCGCCCCGCCCCCGAGCCGCGACCACGCCCACCGCCCGGCGGGCCACGCCCACACGGGCCCCGCTTCCGGGTCTGAAGTCCAGGAAGTCGCCCTGCGGGGGACGCGAGCTGCTGCTGCCCGGCGCCGCCTGGTGGCGGGATGTAGACAGACCTCCGGCGGGAGCCGGCGAGCGGGCTCCCGGGCTGCACCGCACGCACGACCCCCGGGACGGCCTCTGACCCCGCACGCTTAGGGTCAGTTGGAGCACCGAGCTGATGATGAGGGGCCAGCACCGTTCGGCCTCGCGTCTGACTTTGCTGCGGGGAGTGCGGGGACTCAATGAGGTTCCCCACCCCAAGCAGAGGCCTAGGCCGCCACTGCCGCCTTCTCCCTGCCATCGGGCTTCAGGAAGGGAACTGTGTGGCCGACGCCAGCCATTGTGGCCTTCAGGTTGGGACGGGGGCGACAGCGCAAGAGTTCGTCCATCGTGAATGCCCGCAGGAGATCACTCGGACTCTACTCCAGAACCCAGGGGCCCGCAGCCTTAGCTTGCAGAGACCCCGCCCGCTAACGGCTTTCCTTCCTGCTTCCTCAAAACTTCCCAGGAACTGCTGAGCGAGGAGGTGCCAGGATGTGGTTTCTGCCTTTAAAATACTGGTCATCTCCAGTGAGGTGGCCAGAACAAAGCCGCAACTATCAATAATAAATGAAATAGCACCCCAAATTCCACCAAATTTTAGCAGACTTACTAGTAGATACATTGGTCAATGTAAAAGTGGTCCAAAATTACCTGGGAATGCTTTTTTTTTTTTTTTTGAAGCAAGACTGGAATTTATGAAGGCATGTATGGGCCACCGTGACTGGCTTTGTCTTGTTCTTCTAAATATCGATTTTGTTGAGTTAATTTAAAATGTGTTACATTTGTTTATGCCATGAAATGTTTATTGATGCAAATTTGTGTTACATTCTTTTATGTTGCATTTGTTTAATTCTGCAAGGGTGTGTTCCTTTGCTTGTCTAAAACACCTGATTGGTCTAATAAAGAGCTGAACGGTCAGTAGCTAGGCAGGAGAGAGAAATAGGGGGGCTGCCAGGCCGAGAGAATAAATAGGAGAAATCTAGGCTAGAGAAAGAGCAAGCAAGGATTGAGAAAAATAGGAGAGGGCGACGCCAGGGGCCAGCCAAGGACTATAGTGTGACTCAGTCTATCTATTCCTAACATCGCCAGGACAAAGGCACGTTGAACTTTTTCAGTCTTTTTGACATTATGTGGTTTCTGCCTTTAAGTTAGTTTATATAGTGTACTACATTTTTGATTATCTATGTTGAGGTAAACTTGTCTCTCCAGAATGAAGCCTAGTTGTTCATAATGTATGATCTTAATGTGTTCCTAAATTTAGTTTGCAAGTTTTTTAATACAGTGTTCTGCCTGAATGTATCACTGCAGGCCAGAAGAGGGCACCAGATCTCACTACAGATGGTTGTGAGCCACTATGTGGTGGCTGGAACTTGAACTCAGGACCTCTGGAAGACCAGCTCATGTTCTTACCCAATGAACCATCTCTCTAGACCCCAGTTTGCAAGGATTTTGTTGAATTTTTTTTTGTCTATAGTCATTAAAAAGAAGAAATTACTCTGTAGTTTACTTTTTAGTTGTTGTGCTTCTCCGTGATTTTGGTATGAAATGTTCTTTCCCTTTCTGTTTTGTGGAACAAGTTATGAATTGGTATGAGATCTTCCTTGAAAGTTTGATAGAATTCAGTAGTGACTACAAGAGCCAATAATATGGTGTCTCCTAAAACCCATTTAGCTAGCAAAGGAAAAAAAATCAAAAAACAAAAAAATTTACCAAGCAAATATCACATAAAGTAAATGTCATGCCAAAGCCAATTAGAAAATATAGAAGGGGTGTTGAAGAAATGGCTCGGAGGTTAAGAGCACTGGCTGCTCTTCCAGAGGATCTGAGTTCAATTCCCAGCAACCACAGTCTATAGTGGATTCTGATGCTCTGTTCTGTCATGTATTTATATTCATAAATAAATATGAAAAGAAAATATAAAAAGAATGCTACATATTATGAAGGGAATAATTCATCAAGAAAAATATTTCATACACTGGATATTGGAGTCCCTAATTTCATTAAACACAATAATTTGAGGCATACAATGTTTCATAGGTCCTCGTACAGCAATAGTGGGGGCTTGAATACTCTACTTTTATATTTAAGTAGCTCTCCAAAATTAAAAAATAAGAATCAGAGCTAAAATACATTATGGATCAACTAGACAGACATATACAGAACATTCTATCCAACAGATATTGAATACACTTTTTTTTTAAATCTCATTGGAACTTGAAATCTCCTCCAAAACTAGTATCACAGGACACAGACTCACACATGACAACAAAATCAAGATTACACAATACATTTTGAACAGGGAATCATCCGAGAAATCAAAGGAAGTTTTAAAAAGAGACAAATGAGGATGACAAGCCTGTTAGAAACTCTGGGATACAGCTACGACAGTCCTCCTAAGTCTATAGCAACAAGAGTCTACATTAAAATAATCTGAGACCAGGCGTTGGTGGTGCACGCCTTTAATCCCAGCACTCGGGAGGCAGAGGCAGGCGAATCTCTGTGAGTTCGAGGCCAGCCTGGTCTACAGAGCGGATTCCAGGACAGCCTCCAAAACAATACAGAGAAACCCTGTCTCGAAAAAACCAAAATAAATAAATAAAATAATCTGAGAGGTGACTGGAGAGATGGCACAGCAAGTCGTTAAGAGCACTGGCTGCTCTTCTAGAGGACCTAGGTTCATTTCCCAGCATCCACATGGCGGCTCACAATTGTCTGGATGCCCTCTCCTGGCTCCAGATGGAGGGCACCAGGTGCACACAGTACTACAGTTCATCAAGATTTATCTGCATAGATGACTTGGCTTTTGAGAAAGGGCCTTTATTTAGCTCAGCTGACAGTTCTCAGTGACTTGAGTGTCTTGAGCTTTTCCTTGCACCAGATCTTTCTCAAATGGAAATTACTCAACCTGGAGGAATCTTAGCCATTTGTGCACACAAACTGACAGTGCTGCCTTTTATGGACGTGCTAAGAGGAGACCACAGCCTGGGGTCCCGTCACGCTTGAGAATGCATCTACACATGTAACTGGTCCCCAGGAGACCTTTCCTCAAAAACAAGGTGAAAGGAGAGAATGACCCCACATATTTGGAGCCCCAAGCACCTACACTTATTCCCGCAGAGGACAGGGGTTGTCAGTTACTTGTCCTGTTGTGATTGTGGTTTGTTTGCTGTATGTAAGACAGGCTAACTGTGTCTCCTGTAGGCTGACTAGCCTTCAAGAAAACTTGAGAGCTGTTTGAAGTCTCACCCTGACAGCAGGAGCTTGAGCTAGCCACTCCCAGTTTGCAGTCAGGAAGCAGATCGAGGAATGGTCACGCTTAGCTCACTTTCTTTACTTACTGGGTCTCAGGCCCTCGTCACAAAGGTGGCACCTACATTTTACGTCTCTCCCACCTCAATTACGGAATCTAGATTCTTAGGCAATTCATCACCTGGGAGCATGCTGATTGCAGGTCCCTCCATCGAGACAGGTTTAGTTGTTGAGGTATGACTTATTTCCTTTTTTTCTGTCTCAATAGGGTCTCCTGCAGCCATGTCTGGCCTTTTCGTTACTTCCTGTTCCAGCCTCTCCCCTGTGCTGGGAATTTGCATTACAATCTTGGATTCTCCAGACTGGGTTTTCCTGTGTTGCTCTGCCAGCCCTCTAACTCACATCCACCTGCCTCTGCCTCTCAAGTGCTAGGGTTAAAGGAATGCACTATCACCACCCCAGGCTTAAACCCTTCTTAAGTGGACATTAAAATTTCAATATTGCTTTCTAAGAATTCTGCTATGCCAGGCTTGGTGTGGTGGTTCAAGATTATAATCTCTACGTTGGGGGAGGGCACTCAGGAAGAACCACAGTTGAAGGCTAGTCAGCCTGCAGGAGACACAGTTAGCCTGTCTTACATACAGCAAACAAACCACAATCACATTAAAAGTTCATTTTGGAGGTGGGGGTGGTGGCGCACGCCTTTAATCCCAGCACTCTGAGTTCAAGGCCAGCCTGGTCTACAGAGTAAGTGCCAGGACAGGTTCCAAAGAACCCCCCCCAAAAAAAAACCAAAAAGTAAAATAAAAATGCTCATTTGTGCTCTTGGGTTAAAGATGCCACTTCTGACCAGTTTCATCCATGGACTCCCATAGAATATTGTCTTCCAATTTGTTCTGACCTCCATACACACATAGCAGCCCCCTCTCCAAAACTTGTGATTTCATTTCTGAGTTTTTGGGAAAATCTTATTTTCAAAATTCCGATAGACATCTAAGACTTTGAAAAAAGCCATATTAGGCATTATTTTTGAGGGGCTAGACAAATAGCTCAGTTGGTCAAAAGTGCTTGTTGTTGTACAACCCTGAGTTAGGATTCCCAAAACACCACAGAAAACCAGGGCAGAAGCCTGAAACTGCGAGGGAGGGAGGGAATAAAGGCACCTGGTGAACTAATTCAGTGGATAACCAGTCTCAAGCAAGGTGAAGAAAACCCTCTGGCCTACAACCATGTCTTAACCCTCATGAACAGACACGTGCACAAACTCCAACAAATCTTACATGCCAGTTCCTCCCTGGAAAATTGTTTCATATAGTACATTTTAAGGGACTATCTTTTCATTTGTTTCAAGTCTTGCTATGCAACCCTTGGCTGACCTAACCCTTCAGCAATCCATCTACCTCTGCTGTCCTGGGACTGCGCAATCCTGCCTAGCTGAATTGATACTGGAGACAGAGCTGCAAAGCACTCCAACTAAGCCTGTGGACTTCCCAGTTCTTAGGTCTGTCCATGGGGTAAAATGCCTGTCCTTTCCAAAACTATTCCAATCAGTGTCACTCTCCAGGGCTTCCAGGTAGTGATGTCATCTATGCTGTTATTATTTCAGTGACTTTGTGAGCACAGAAATGCAGTCTTG